GTCCCAGGGGCATTTAAAAGCACTGTGGAACACAAACTGTATAAACCAGGATTTGTTAGGGTGACATGAACTAATTAAATTTCTGCAGAGTCCTACCTAAAATACAGAAGGTCAAAGAATTTTATTATTTCCTTTTGTTCTGTCTGGTTGCATGCAGCCAGAAAATCTACTGGGCAAGCAATGTACTTGTCTGCCTTTTTTTCGTTCATTCATTAGTAATAAAATATTTATTCTAGAATCAGATAATGCAGAAATCTTGAATAAGATTCCTTAACTCTGCCTAGGTAAGCTGTCATTTGTGCCTTTTTATGGTAGCAGCTCTGTGCAGGAGTCATTTGTCACCAACACTATCAGCATGGTGCTAAATGTACTTGAATCACAACCTACATATCTTTAATTAGTGTCCACCCAGGTTTGTATTTTAGCATTTTTGACAATATTCTTCGTATGACTTTGTCTCATTAACAAGTCAGAGTCAAAAAACATACTGGAACTAAAGCCTCTATAGTTGGGTGCAGTATGTGTATAGAAGAATTAGCTTTAGTTACAAGACTAAGTTTTAAGGAGAAACTCCAAGAAAGCCAAGTTGTTCTTCTAAAGAATTCCATAATATGCAAAATCAGTTCCATGCTTTCATTCTTTGTTCTCATCTATGGCCATACAAACAGCTATTAAAATACTCTATTAATTTTCAGCCCAAAATCTTAATTTTTATGTTCTATAGGTACATCAAAATTGCTCCAGCTGAGTTTAAAGGATCATTCCCTCCTTCTACACATTCTTACCATGTTCCCTGGACTGCCAGTCACCTTGTTCAGTAAGCTGATTGACCTAAAAACTTGCCTTAAAGTTGAATTGTCAGCCAGATCAACAAGGTTGTCTGAACAGCTGCAAAGAGCACTCCTGCCAACATGCGAAGGAAAACAAAAACCAGTGCTGGAACTACAGCTTTGAACAGCAACCTCCACTAAGTCAATCTGAGCTGCTTCTGAAACCACACCCACAAGTCAGCAATCCCCCAAAGAATTTTTTGTGCTACATACAAACCTTGTTTTTACCATAGCATACCAGAACTTCATGGGGTGTGTGTGTGGAAATCCATACCCTATTGTGCAATCCCTACTCACATTAAGTTGGAAAATGAAGTATTCTTTCTGAATTTGATCCATTAAGGCCTTAGTTATCAAATATATAAACACATATTTGGTATTTTAGTCTCAATTTTAAGAACAGGAATGGTCACTAACTAGGTTCCAAACTAAGCTTCCTACAGAAACCAGGCATAGCAACACAAAAACTGTTTTTACACTTCCCTACATTTTTTCAACATTGAAACTGTGAGGAAAAAAAAAAAAAAAAAGGCTGACTTCACTAACCAAACAATGAGATTGAAAGAAGATGCTCTCATTTGTAACAAAATAGGACAAGAGTCAACTATAATTAAAAACATATCTGAGCTAAGTGAACTGGGTCATACCAAAGTGTTAAATGAATATTTGCATTTCCCACTCAGTGTAACTTTGGCTCAGACACAATTAGGTAATAATTATGTCATCTTAATGGGGGAATCTGAAAGACAACTATTTGATTTCTTTTTCAGAAAACCAAAGCAGAAAGCTCAAGAGGAAAGTTTGCTTCTTGCAAATGCATAAGCAGACATCCCTATAATTAGCCTTACTTTTTGGTGGACTGAGCTAATGACATTGTAAGGCCCTATTGGGGTGAAAGAACAACCAAACTATCATTTCGAAGCTACTCTTCTAGATAGTTACTCTCTCTGGAAAACAAGATCTGTCGACAGTTCAAAACAAGGAATATTTTGAAAGCTAGTAGTTGAGTTTAATAGCCTTTCACTAAGGATCAAAACAACATTGAGGATTTATCTTTCTGCACAGCACAGAGACAACAGCCGAACTGGCTTCCAACATTGGTGCTTTACCAGAGGCAGCACAAGGCTCAGCAGGATGCAAGTTTTGTTAAGTCTCCAAGACCATAACTCCAAATACGTACCAAATTCATTCAAGCAATCCAGTATATCCCTAAAGTAAGTGTTAGATCTCTTCAACAAAAAGCTTACCCAAGCCTAAAACTTAGGAGACATTTACTAACCTAAATGCGTAAGACACAGGATCCAAAACACCAGAAGGATAAAGACTAGCTCTATTTTCACTTACTTGTGCAACACTGCAGCAGATGAATCGTAACCTCTGAGTAAGGTGCCTAGCATTAAGCCCAAGTGCTTAAAGCCACACCTAAATAGACAGTCTACCAGCAAGTCAAGAATGATAAATACTCAGTTTCCTTCAACACTGAGAAGCTCTACAGAACTTCAGAGTTTCAATTAGGCGTCAGTATGCTTTGTTACAGGTTTCTGTGTCCAATTCTGGGATCCAAATCATTTACCAAAAAGCTTTTATAGTAAGCAGCATGCTCTTCATCTGGAATAAAGTGACTTTTGTAGTGTATTATGCTTCAGTTCTTAATCAGTGCACTACCAGGCATCTCAGGTGTAGCAAAATCCCATCTCATCATGTCGGTCATTCTGTTGCTCTTCCATCATAATTCTGAAGAGCATAAGAGGCATCTTGCACATGTTAGAACTTGTTGGGCACTACTGTATTCTATCTGTCACAGTTAAATCCTATGCTCACCATACAGACTAAAGGTTATATAAAATGCAACTTCCATAAAAACTATTATATCTCAACGGAGTTTACTATTCTTACAGGTCTAAGAGTCACTTAGCTTAAACATAGGATTCTTTAATCAGAACCTTCATGAAGAACATTTGTGTTTTCATTACGCTACACATATTACAGGATTTTATACGAATCACAGAGACCTGTTAAGGTCTGAAATGTGAATTAGCTGTTAGTAACTTACTAGTCATAATGATAAATTAGATGCAAGTACAAGTTGCACACTGATATTGTCAGCATCTGAAGCTTAAAACTATAGCTAATTCAGAACAAGAACATTTTCTCATCTGCAAAGGCATCTAGTAATCAGCAGAACACCTTTAGCTCACAAAAACAAGTATCCAGGTCTTGCCTGAGAGCAGGCAAGTAGTCTGTTAAAAAAAACAGAGTATGAAAATAATATTTAAACTTTAATTTTATAACTTCATAGAACATGCCTACATTGACTAGGATAGACTGTATAGTAACATTTGAATTTATTATGTGTGTCAAGTGTCACTTTAAGCTGTTAATGTTATTTGTTAAAGAACTTTAAAAAGCAACAAAATTGTTAAGTGTCTACATCATCCGTTTGCTCTGGGACATCTCTTCTTTAGACACAAAGAGTATCTATGCATAAAAAGGAGCTCACAAAGCTTAAGTGTTAGAATATTTACAAAGACAAGAACACTTACACCTGTTATAACCTCAGCAGTAGGTCCTTCTTGCTGCCTAAACAGCCTGAAACTGATTTGTCCCTCTAAGAACAGGAAAGGACAAGAACACTGTTGATCAGGAAACATATCTTGGAAGATAAGATTATAAAATAGCAGAATTGTTAAGATTTGTTTGCAATGACAGTTAATTTCATAGTTTTATGCCTACTGTTGCATCTTAGTGTACACAGAAACTTCGATGACACCAACCTTCAAAAAAGTCAATTGCTAATTGCATCTTCCTAACCTGATACCAGACAAACTTCGTAATTGCTGGTTAGTTTTTGTAGCTCCTCTCTATACACACTCTCTAGCAAAGAAACAGAGGAGACAAGCCCTATTCCTAAGGATCAGATATTTGGTTGGAGTCAGCACCCGGAGCCCCGGATAACGCAGGACGGCGGCTCACAGCCCTTCCCGACCGGAGGCAACACAAAGCCCTCCCATTTCCTCCTCGCTGCAGGCATCACCATGCTGCCCGCTCCGGGGGCGCCGCAGCAGCTCCCCCCGTCGCCGGGCACCTGGCCGTGCGGAGCTCGTCCCGCCAGAAAAACGGCCTCTCGCCCCCCGGCAGTCCTTCACGGTGTTCCCTCCTTCACGGTGTTCCCTCCTCCCGGTCTGTCCCTACAGGAGCTCCTCACGGCCTACCCTGGACCTAGCCCAGCACCTCCCTAAATGCACCCCCCCCCCCAAATCGCCTTCGGGC